AAACGATTAATGCATGACTTTTAGATATTCTGTGCCTGACCACCCAATAAGCATTCCCAGATCTTCTTCATGCGATGACCTGCAAAATATATTGCGTGAACTTCTTGGAAGCCGGGGCGATACTGTTTCTTTCGATTTCTTAATTAACAACGAGTTTGTCGAAGGAACTCTTGATGAATTCCTCACAAAGAAAAGTCTTACACTGGTAATATCTAGATTTCGTGCTTACTTTTGTTAGGAAGTTATCTCAATTGAATTTACTGTTCGCCAAGAAGCACCTGAGGCCATTCAATCCATCAATCTCGATGATTATGTCAGTTGTGTAAAAAGGAGTGAAAAACTGTAAGTTTTTCATTTTTTAATTTTCATGGTCCTAGAATTCTGGTTGGTGATTATTGTGGAAATGTTAAACTGCATACAGTTATATCTGCCGACCCCTTATTAACAATCACTTTGGAGGACAAAATAAAATGCTTGGAATGGATTAAGAAAGGCGGGAAAGCTTCTGATGACTCAATTTTCGTTACTGGTGATTTCAATCAGAATATTCGACTTTGGGTTCTGAATATTGAGAAGAATAGTTTGATATGCGCTGCTATTTGTAAGGGCCATTCAAACACTGTTATGTCCCTTGCGGCCACTTCATCGATTCCTGGTTGTCAAGCTAATGTGTTTGCATCTGGATCTTCTGATAATACAATCAAAATCTGGTCGGCAAATCCAGATAAATCAGACCTTTCTTTCGAAACTGGTGGAATTTCACATGTGCCTAAATCTGAAGAGAAGATCCCCGTTAGAGTAGGTGGCATTCAATTATGCTTTAATATCTATTGAGTTATAATATAATGATGTGCTTGTTTTACAATCGTTTGTGTGTAGAACATTTTACTACGTCTAACTTTGTGAGTGCCCTTTAGTTTATGGAAACTGATTCTCCGATACGCTTTATTTTATTCTTATTCCTATATTCATTTAATGCTACATGAATTCCTCTTCAAGATTATTTGAATCTATTTTTTCACAAAATAAAGATCGATATTGATTGCTCGTGAGATACTAGTTTAGTTCTATGGTGTCCAATTTCCCAGACATTGTTTGCTTTGACGTTTATGAATGTACACGAACATTTATAATTCATGTTCTATACTAGTATGTGTTCTTGCTTCAGAAATTTTTTTATGAACGTGGTAAGTAATTAAATTTATCTTCTGATGTGGAAAAGTTTGTGCATCTATTTTAATTCCACAATCTATTGTTTACCTTTCAGCTTCTTTTAGAACTACCAGACACTAGCAGAATAGGCGAATGAGTCAAGAGATGTATAACGGAATCCAGAATACGATTTATATACTCGATTTTTCGTTAGATAATTTTGCTTCCTGTGAGATGGAAATTAGCGCTACCCACTGGTGACTGAAATGTTCAACTGCTCCAAGTTGTTTATCGCAAAACCTGGAAGACTAAACCTCCCACTTAGACCATTTTACTTTGTAGATAATTAATATGTAGGGGTGTTTCTGGTTGTCTATCTACCATAATTTCTGCAAACTGTTAGTAGCAGAGTGCTTATCTGGGGCGTAATTTTTGAACACCATTTGCAGATTCCACGGCTTACTCTCGCTGGTCATCGTGCCATGGTGACTCAAGTTTGTTGGTACAACGAGGGTGGGGGCGGAGCTATTTCTACCACCACTGCGCCCAGACTTCTCTCTTGCAGTTGGGACCAGTCTCTGCGCCTCTGGGATGTTGATGCGAAGTGTAACGGCAACAGTGACAAAGCCGAAACTGCCGCCCCCAAATGTGGTGAGGCGAGGTGTATTGTGGTTGGATCCGCTTTGAATGATCTCTCTGCCGCTCCCCACGGCATTCTCGTCGCCGCTTGTGACAACAAGGTCCGCATTTATGATCTTCGTGCTAAAGGTATGTATCTTTTTCTTCCTCTGGATAACTCTATTGGACATGTAGTAATTTTGGTGGGTGTTCGAAATATTTGAGGACGTGAGTTTAAATTTCAACTGTGCGACCGTTTCTTGATAAATATCTGGTTCCGTGGACTTAAAGATGAAGGAAGGGAAACTGGTTATTTGGAGTGGCTAGCAGTAGTTGGCAAGTGAATGTTTGGTGGAATCCAGGAGCTTCAAATCTGTCCTCGATCAATAAATGCAGAGCTGATAAAGAATGGTTAAACTTTTAACTAATTAGGCTACCTAAAAGGAAATTGTTGTTCCTAGTAATGGCTTTAGCCCATTAATATATTAATACCTTTTTTCTGAAAGCTGTTGAAAGCATAAAATCCATCATCCAAGAAATGCCCCTATCATTTACGACTTAATAATCTAAAATAACATCGTGTCTATTTAACCATATTCTCACTTCTCAATTATCTACTGAAATATATTTAGTAGTTCTTGCGTCTCGTTAATATTGTCTTTCCTATCAACAAGTCTACGTTACGTCCTCTCATTAAGGTAGTTTTCTCTAATCTCCGTTGAAATGAAATTTCATTAACTGTCTGACTGCAATTATACAGCCACATAGGTCCTCTCCTCCTTTTACTTGACAATGTTTCTCAACTCATTAATAAACAGTATTCATTTACTTGAATGAAAAGTAAAATAATTGAGTGGTTGGAAGCTTTTTTGAAATTAACAAGATGCGAAAGCATAAATTAGTGTTTCATACCCTTTTTGGTTTTTAAATATTCATTGGCAATTAGCTCCCGGTCGCAAAACTTGATAGACAAAGACTTCTCTCTCAAAATCTTTTATGGGTATCATTATTAACTGAGTTAGTCATGTTTTCCATTCCCACAAAAATATTGATTTACAATTCTCCCAATCTACTTACCATCACCATAGTTGAGCTGATTTAATGCTACCTTCCTCTTCTAAAAAGTGCATGTATTCTCCAAAAGGGAGGTTCCCGCTTCCACATTATCATTTGTAAAGGCGACGGATGGAGTGTTACCGCGCAGTCTTTTAAATTTCTCCTGTTCAGGTCCTGCAAGTAGATGAAATTAAGCCGTAAGCTTGACAAATGACGATTAATCAGTGGTCTTCATGCGTTGTCCTTGAATTGTAAGTTCCATTAGATTGTAAATACATCGGGATGAAGTAATTAGAGTAGTAAACCCCTAATGGCAAATGGAACAATACCAAAATCCTTGTTTAAGGACTGAAATTTAGCTTTTAAGTGAATGGTGTTTTAGTCTATGTTGCCCTTGACCATATCTTAGTCTAAGTACGACTTTTTTAAGATGATTTATTGAATTCTCTTATCTTAATTGCTCAAAAATGGAATTTTCTTGTTTGTTTTTTTTAATTTTACTAAATCATATACGATTTCTATTGCCTTATCTATCACCTATTACTTCCTTTACTTGGTACAAAAGTGGGATGTCAAACTGCCCGATTCTGACTATAACTATTTTTTTCCAAAATAGTTACCCCCTATATCCTTAGCTTGCTCGTCTGAGGTCATGAGTGCAATGCCCCATCCAATGAACGAATGGTTAATTGCACTGGTTCAGTGGCTAGTAAATAAGGTAACATTTAGGTTTCCCATCGGGGTGGTGCCTTGCCACCACCATTTTCCTAAAAAGATCTCGGAGTCGTAAGCGCATTTTGCAAGCATTCATTTTTGGCTGTTCTTTGAACGACTTCAATGAGTTTACAGTCGCTCTACGAACACAGCAGTCTTTAAGATATCTTAGGTTAAAGTAATAATTCTAATTGATCCTAGAAGTATCAATGATAATATTTGTGAATAATGAACTTGTTTAGAGAGGCTTTGCTATGCTCCATTAAGCAGTGAAAGTTTATCTCTACTGGGCTGTATATCTTTCAGTTACGAATCATCTGATTGTATGTTTTGTCTTTCTTTCGACAGACGCCCTCGCTCAAGTCGGTTTCCAAAGTCACAGCGGGTGGCTGACCTCAGTTGCTTGGGCACCCCACCGTTCCGATCAATTTGTCACAGGTTCCATCGACAAAATGGTAAAGCTCTGGGACACCCGTCGTATTTCCGCACCCCTCTATGACCTCATGGGTCATCAAGATATGGTCACTTGTGTCGATTGGGCTCAACCTGATGATGATGGCCAACATTACATCGTCTCATCTTCCGCTGATGCGTCTGTCAAAGTCTATCATTATCCTGTCTAAGAGCTACCATTCCCTCTCTGTACAAAAGCCCTTTTATTAATGCACTAATAAAGGACTAATATACTGTTTAATTTATCCCGTGTTTTGTAGTCTTCATTGTACACTCTACATAGTTAACTTTCCTATTGCCTTAGAAAAATGCCATTAATTCTTCTCTGTGGATACCCATGTTCGGGAAAGACAACAATCATGGAGAAACTCGTGGAAATGTTACGGGAGGGAAGTCCAGAATGTGATATTGAAATAGTCTCTGAGCAAGCGATTGCTAAAGCGAATCAAGCATATAAAGGCGAAGAAGGAAAAGACCCGAGAGAGGCGATTTTTAAGGACACCGCTTCTGAAAAACAGCTGAGAGCTCAAATCAAATCAGATGTACGGTGTTAACTGTAACTTTCTTATATAAATTTAGACAGAGCGAGTGCTTTCAAAGAAGAAAGGAACTTCAACAGGTCTTGTAATCGTTGATGGTACAAACTTCATCAAAGCCCTACGGTATGATACTTTTTGTATTGCGAAAAGCCTTGGACAAAGACAAGCTGTTATCCATTGCACAACTCCGGAGAGTATGTGCCGGGAGATTAACACAAAGGTAGGTTAAAATTCGTGATTCTAGTCTGCTTTCAGTTAGGTCGATATTCTGAAGAAGTCATTTCAGATTTGGTCTACCGATTTGAGTGTCCTAATCCAAATGCTCGTTGGGACAATCCCCTTTACGAAATCAGTCTCCCGGACGCTAATTTCTCCCCTGATCCCGATGAAGAACTTAAAACATCCTTGGAAAACCTTGTTAGCAACATAATTGCCGATCTTCTTCAGTCTAAAACCAAAGTGAAGCAGAATAAAACAACAGTCATTTCTCGTTCTGTGGCTCCTGATTACATCCAATTGGTCGAAAGGGCTACCACCAAGGTGGTCAATCTCATTCTCGAGGCCCAATCGAAAGGCGAGGAGAAGATGTGTTTGCCCAAACAAGAGGACATTTGCCTCCAATTGAGCGGTAACCTACATCCCTGGACACGAACCACTCTAGCTAAAGCAAAACGGAATTTCCTCGCTTTCCTAAGATCCGGTCAACGGGCAACCAAAGTCAATGAGGACGAAATGTGTGTCCTCTTTGTTGGCTTCCTTAACAACGAATCTCAGAGAGATGCTTTTCTTGCATAAACTGTAATTATTAATTATTATAAAAGTTAACTTTGAAAATAGCCCTTTTGTTGGTGATTTAAACGTACGGACACAGCATTACAGTCTTGCAACTAAGAAAATGACACAGAGAAGGGAGGTGTTTACATGATGTGATTAGTAAAGGGGAGAGAAAAAACAAAAGCGATATAAAGGGGAGAGGCAAAATGAGCGAACAGAAGTGTGCGCGTTCGATAGTCATTATTATTGATTAGGCAATCAAGTAAAATCATTCGTTAAGAGCAGAGGGATATTACTTAATTCGACACAAGTAGCGATTCTATACAAACACAAGGAGAGTACGGAGTCGGTCCGGCTACTTTACAGGGTGCTAGGTGGCTACAAAGTGAGAAGTATTAGTTAAGAGAAAACACGTCATTAGGTGTGGGTAGTTGGGTGATCGTTTTGGTTTCACGTTGTGCTCGTGCGCTTCCTATCTTCTTCGAAGAGTCTCCTTGCGACTTAGCTGAAACAAGAAACATTAAGTCTCATTGACAGGGAAATATCCAGCGGTGAAAGTTGCCAAACCAATGCCCGTTTTCACCTATTTTCTCTTCTGCACATGAACGGTTGAATAGATACGGACGGACTTGTAAAGTTAAGCGGAATTCAATAGTAAATATAAATGCAAAGCATCATTAATGAAATATCGAAATTCATTGCGAATTTTGGCCAAATTTAAACTTGGCAACCTCAACATTGATAATTCTCCCAATTCAAGTCTTAACTTGACACAAATCAAATTACATTTTCTCAATCATCTGACAAATAAGATGACTAGACGAGACACTAATCGAAACAAAAATGCTAGGAAAATTGTTTTGCAACGAAACTAATTCCATAAACATATGCGGTTCCAGACACGCTTTCTGTTATCAAAACAAGCGAGTACGAAAAAAAAACAATCTTGAAAAACCAACGGCCAGTAGCAATATACTACTTAAAACTACTTACGGAATTAAGTTCTATTCGAGCACACAAGTAAGCCACAAAAGTACGTTTGAAGAACATGTAGGCATAAACCACTATTAGTGATCAAGCGAACTATTTCATTTTAAGGGACAAATATCTAGTAAATAAATGATGCTGACAACTACTTATCACTGACTAATTTGCCTCCTTGTTATGCACATTAACCAGGATGAGTATTATTATTTCTATTCGCAGTATTACAAAAAACCAACGCGTTTAAAGTGCGCGAGCTCACTGACATCGAAGGAGATAAAAAATTTTATTGAGAGTCCAAGCTTAATTTAACGTTTTTTGCATTCGGGATGAACTACATTCACACTAAATAGGCAGTTCAAGTTGAAAAACTTGAATTTCGCGACGTATCCCCTGAATTGTGGCTGTAGCAAGTACCTGCGCCTGAGATGCGCATGACTTCATGTTTCTTCGAATGGCTGGGAATGCAAAATCTTCCTACATCATCTCACAGTTTTAACGCAGCAAAGGTAAGATATATGGAAATTAAAAGTTAGAAGAGCTCCATAAAAAGTGTGCGCACAAGGCAGCATAGCCAATTATTTCATTAGCCTAAAAGGTACTTAATAAGAATAATAATAAGAAAACGTAGGCATGAGGTAATAAACAGAGGACTTTAAGTATTTCTGAGTGGCATTATTACCAGAGGGACAAGCTAATGGGAGGTAGGAAGAGGAATTAGCCAGACAAAATCTAACAACAAGCCTATCTAATGGCAAGCTAGCTCTGAGATTAAAAGACACCATCGCGAATAGACACAAAAATAGCATCAAAAATGGAATTTTCCTTGACCTCTGAAGAACCCGGAAAAAACCCAAAGTCAAATCCCATTTAATGACCTTGGTAGTTGCAATTAATTCTAGAACATAAATGAAGTATTACTGTAATTGATACACACAAATGTTAGATCGCGGTTGAGAAAGTGGGAAAGACTTAGGGATGGCTGAAGAATTAAAAGATATCCACCTATAAATGTTCATAGACATTTCAATTTTTTGGCATATCAGGAATTCAGAAGCGAGCCATTCGAATATGCAGTAAATGGAATTGGTAACTAAGGCAATACCATGATTAGGCTGAAAAGAACTGCCCTTCAAAATGTAAGGTCATCGATTCTATGATAGAGAAACCCGAGCGGGCTATCAAACCGCAAGTAGTAAATGTTTATTTACAATTTGATCTTCAAATAAATGCCGTGGCATATTTGCCCTTCTCGTCACATACATCATCTCACTAAAAGTGGATACATTTCTATTTTAAAAATATTCTTTAACCAAGCTCTTCACATGATCAACTGACTCGGGCTCGAAGCCCATTAGCACGAATAAACCTGCCGGTTATAGAAGACAGAATTATAAAATTAAATCGATAATTTTTATTCAAATAAACTCTTTAGGCTTAACAAGGTATTTTTTCTAAATGCGTTTGAGATTAAACGCTTAGGCAGACACAAAGGGACCTCGCTCTAGATCTAAAACGACCGAGTGGGAAGTGGGAGTGTTTTACTGAAGGAAATTAGTGATATTAAAATATCAACCAATCGGTCAAAGCCAGATAGAGCAAATTGGATTTTAAATAAATTATGAATTAATGGCATGCAGAGTTAGGAATCTAGGGATTGCAAAGTTAAGCCAAACGGCGCACTTAAGTGTAATCACGATTCTATACACGCAATCCCAATTATTAAAATATGCACTTTCTATACAATCTATTTCGATTGAAATCTCGGTTTTAATTTTCTCATTAAAACGAATTACTAGAAAACTGTCATTCAGCGCGCTCCTAAAACACGAACCTTAAGAAATAAGCCTCAATCTAATGCTTTAAATATTTCAAACCAAGAACAAATTTATCTCTCCCCCTTCCATTTTTAGTAACTGGAATACTGACTTTTATACATGCCCCTCCAAACTCGTATCTACGAAGAGAATCGTATCGGATTAAATTCGCTGTTAAGACGCTACCACCAATCTCATTTATCAACTCTTGACTGCAACAAGATACCAATAATCCGAGATGGCATGATCAACTGATCAACACGAACCCCCCCCCCCAGAAAATGCGAGCCAAGTTGTGAAGTATGAAAATGGGGGTGCCGCTCTAAAGTTACCAATGCTACTTATGAGAACATGGGCAACGAAATCCTGCTATTATCGACGTACCACAGCTCAGTTTTATGCCTCATTAGTTTTATTTGCTATTTCCTTACTCATATGCTTTCTCATGACAAAAAAACACTTGCACTGTAAAGGGTAATAATAAAAACGAACTACTTTTAATTAGGAGAAAATAAAGAACTGGCATGCACCTGGCAACTAGACAAATAAGTGAAGCTAATAAACAAATTTTATTTATACAATGACCATCCTAGACAAATAGGACCATGTTGTGACCTTGAATACATAAATCTTATATAGTTCTTTTAAAGACCCATAAAATAGGCTCCTGTACTGAGCTGGTAGGAAATATCCTAATTACAATTTGGAGCATTAATATTGATTTAAAAGTCGACTTAAAACAGTAAATGCACTAGTTTAATATAGACCACCGCATAGTAGATGTAAAAAACATATTTAACTAGATTGGAGATTCACCCATTGTATTCAGCTCTCAACTAAACCTGATCAATACTCTCAACAACCTATCTTGAAATTTGGGTTAGAAACAACTAGATAGAAGAATAAGCCTTCTATTGGGGGAACTAAGATGCAAATAGATTAATTGTGAAGCAGATTAGCAGCTAAATCGATAGGCGGAACAGTAGAAAGCAACAGAAAGTTCAACCTATTAAAAATGACACCACATTGAACAATGAAAATTATTCCTCGAATGTAGACAGTGGGATAGGAGGGG